GACTGGACTATGGGGCTTCGAGCCCGTAGACCCTAATCTCCCCCCAAGAATACTACACTCTTCGGGTGCATATTCTGGTAATGAAAGGATGAGAGGGGATAGCACTGGTACTTGCAAAGGCTCCTCCAGAAAGCCATGGGCAAAAGTTCGCCCTTGTTCCCCCCCCCCCCCAACGGCCGCGTAACAGAGAAGAGCCCGCAAGCCCAACAAGTAGGTGTATGTGAGTACAAGCTTATTGACCAGGTAGGCATGCTACGAAGCACTAGCGCTACATGTAATTGTCGATATAAGCGACTACAGGAAATTACCTGGCTATAATTTGGCTTTTGCCCTGCCAAGCATATCAAAATCATGGCCCCCTTCTTTCACGGGCTGATCTCTCTTTAAACCCTAAGCCCTAACCCCTAAACCCTAAACCGCATGTTAAGCCTGAACTGCGTGTCGCTCGCCTGTGCTTCATGGTACAGCTGCTGGCAGGGGATCCGGTAGTAGTGACCTGAGACGCCAAAACAAATCCAAGCAAGATGCGCAACACGTGCGTAATGCCTATATTGCTAGCCTTTGTGTCAGTCGTTGGGGTGGTCAGAGGATGGTGTGTTTTGGGAGCTTCCGTGCCGTCTATCATCATACCCTGAACCCTAGACTGGCTCGCCCGCATTGAGCGACAGTGAGGCTATCGGAGGCTGGGCTATAAGCCAGACTCTTCATGTAAACGTCTTGAAGCATTCTTTGTAGAACATCTTGTCGGGAGCTTAGATCGTATCTGATGCAAACATTCACCGAGGCTTCTTTAACTTGGGCTGCACCACACATCAGATTCCTATTGTTGTCACTGGAAAATTCTGCATGGCCCCAGCAATTATACTGGAACACCATAATTCCCAAAATGTATGAAACTTTGGGTCATGCAGGATAGTACTGATTGTTTGTAGGCAAATACAATATGATATAATATACTGGAATAATCTTCCCCTAGACCCTAAACCCGACCAAGCGCAGAAGCTCTCATGGTAAGCGTTCGCAACGTTAGAGGTCTCACACGGCCATTGCAGGGACAGGTTCAACTCTTGAAAGGGGCCTTTATGGTCAGTATGTCAAGGTCGGACCTAACCCGTCCTATGCCTCATGAGCAGTTTAAGGTTTCAGGCTTTAGGGTTTCGGGTTTCAGGGTTTAGGGTTTAGCCCTAAATTAGGGCTTCATGAGAAGCCCTCGCACCCCCTCAATATTCGGGCACTATGTCTGTCACATGACTATAATTAGTGCGGCCCCTATTTAAGGAGGTGGGGTTCACCAAAGCCCTCTGATTATTCATAAAGTTGGAGACTCTCAGTCCGAGCCAGCGCTTAGGATCAGAAGTTTAGAAGCTAAACCTAATTACTGCTTAGTTGGGAAGGATGGGCGGGTTATCGGGATTATGGGAGGCATTGTATCGTGAGGTATAGGGTTTCACCCTAGACCGTGAACAGGACTACGCCGCACTGGGCGAATCGGCAGTGGAGGGAGAAAACCTTGTACCAGCGCGGATCCCCAATAATTATGCCACAAAACCATGCATGACTGCAAGTACCTTGTACCTTTTGATTGCGCAAAAAATGCGATATTAAGGTCATGCAAGATTCCTTGTATAAAGGTTGCAAGTAAAATCTAGGCCCGAAACCTACTACCCTGAAAATCAAGACCTAAAACTTGAACTCTACACTCCCCCAAACTAGCATGGAAACCCATATAGTTCCCTTTTAGAAGGACTGTAGTCTTTATAGGGCCCTTTTTGGGTTTCCATGCTAGTTTCCGGGAGTGTAACTTAAAGCTCCTCTAACACATGAAAAGTCAAGTTGCAGCCCGGATGGTGCTTGATGAAGTCGCCCTCTTGCCTAGCACTGGGCCCCACACGCAAGCCCTGGGGATATATGGAGGCTTTTCAAAAAGGGGGTACCCTAGGAACCCCAGGGGATATATAGGGATTATAGAGGGATTATGGGGGTCCTCATTAGGGAATATATAGGGATAATATTGAGAAATACCCATATAGAGATGAAAAGGGGTCCGGCATGAAGATGCTATAGGGCCGGTGCACTAGCTTTTGACGACGTAGCATGTGGGATCAGAGCCACTAATAAAGCCCAATACACCTTACTTAAGGAACATACTCGACATGTTTTAGGGCATGTTCCTTAATTAAGGGGCATTGGGTTCCGTGGGGCTTTAGACTCAATTAACTGGTGCGTCAAGGAGAGTGGGGGAGTGGATCCCTATAACAATTCCTATATAATACCCCTATTCTGGTACCTACATTCACTCGCCCACTCCCGCTTAGGCGCCAGTTGGTCTAGGGCTTGCTTGAAGGGTTTGGGTCTCAGCCATCACTCAGCTGCAAGCTAGAACGCCAGGTGAGCTGTAGTCTAAACTCCTAGTATTCCCCTTAACAACCCCTATAGTAGTCCCCTACATAAGCCTCTATGTAACTCCCTTTAAAGATCTTAGACCATAGCTCATATCAGCGATTGCAGGACAAGTTCTAATACATAATCATTAGGTACTTGGAGCCTTAAGGCAGTGCTGTGTAGAACGACTACTGCAAGCCCACACCGGGTACTACGGCATCTACGAAAAGAAAGCTCTCCGTCTGTAGAAGAGCTTGATGGGGTTAAGCTCAGGCTAAGTTACGGGTTTTAGGGGTTTAGGTTGGGTACTGCCCACACCACGTAGCAATCTATTTTTGGGGTCCTATTAAGGCCTAACTATAGTCCCTAAACCCTAGACCCCTACCTCAGGCATATTCTCCAACCGTTACAGGGTAGGGGGCAGTACCCGCGGCTTAGGGCTTACGGCGGCTTGTGCTTCACACCTTCCAGCCCAGACCGTGCAGAAACTATTTGTCCAGGGTTTAGGGTTCAGGGTTGGAATTTCCTAAGCTGCCCGGAAAGCTAGATTGGGGCTTGCGGCGTTGGCAGGAATACGAAACCTGCCCAGGCTTTTGAGAAAATCCCCATATTGGTGGTTTCCAAAAACTAGGGGTCTCTATCTGGAGCTACCCATAATACTGAGGACTGCAGGTAATGTGTCGAGGGATAAAGAAGGTCATATTGGGACCCTAAACCCCTAAACCCTAAAACCTAACTAAACCCTAAACCCCTAAATATAGAAGCCCGGTAACCAGGCCCGAGAGAGGGCGGTCGCGGCCGTGGCCTGCAATGTAGCTTGGGGGTGCGCGGCGTAGGGAATAATAGGGGGATTAGCCTAATAGTGCAGAGTCTTGAATGGAAAAGAAACGAGCAAATAACATGGGGAGTGAATATATGTGGAGGCTTCTGCGGGAACATGAAACGCTTTCCGAACTTGAATATTACAATCAAGGGCAAGGCGTGGGGCACTCTGCGTCCACCCCTCACGAGAATGCGAGAATCATCTACAGTCTTGAGCTACAGACACACTACCTCGTTTCGGACAATGTGCTCGAGGACCACCTATATATGTGCAGTAAACCGACGAAGTCGATCTGCGGAATATGAAAAACGGCTCAGAGTTCATTTGTAATCGATACGCGTTCTGGTACCCTTTTTCACACAGCGGTTCCTGAATGAGAAAACCCTGCAAACCCCCAACCCTAAACCCTAATCCCTAAACCCTGCAAACCCTAAACCCTAGACTCCTGAAACCGCAGATGAACATGACAATGAACCAAAGCCCTGCTCGCTCTCTGTGAACATGTAGCCCAAAATTGATCCAAGCCCCCCATAAAACAAGCAGCAACCCAGTAAACCCCTGTTAGACCCCTTGCAAGTATTACTCCTACTGTTCTTACGGCTACGGTGACTAATACTATTCCAAGCTGAACGAGCCCAATTCAGTGTTTCAGATACGCGAGGCCTCGTGGAAAGATTGGAGGTGTTCCTGCCGCGCGACCCGCACTTCTGGAGGATAGATAGGCGCCTGGCAGCGCGGTTCTATGGTCAAGCCAAACTAGGTTGATATCAAAGTTCCTGCATGACCCTAGGTACCTTTCACCTGGGACATCTTGATACCAGAGTGCACTACCTCATGCAGAATCTTTGTAGCATCAGGAATAATAGTTCATGCCAGGGGCCCAAAGAAAGTTGGAATCTTGGGGCGGGGCGGAGTATTCGTTGCTTCTGCCGGAGCATGGGGGCATAACGTTCTGTAGGAATCCTGAAAAGTGCTGAATGCAATGTAGTTTGAAATAATTTCAATTCCCAATCTAAGGCCATTTTGGTACTACTCCCTGTATAAACCACCATTTAGGGTGAGGTCGGGTGAGGTCATTTTAAATTGCCCAGTGAATGTTCGTGACTGCGAGAGCTTTGGAAGCAACACTCGCGTGGGCAGTGCCAAGGAAGTTGTAGTTTGCTTCAAAGCCTTGCATAACAAGGCTACGAGGATTTGGGACGGCTGCAGCCATCAATCCAGGAAGTGCTCCCTGCACCCTACAGCTCAGTGACATGCAACTTAGAATCTGTTTTCATTAGTGTTATTACTGATTGTCATTATTAATATTACGCTTGTTATTGTCATTGTGAAAAACAATAGGGGGAGGACCTTAAACCCTAAACCCGAAACTCCCAAACCCCAAATCCTAAACCCCACCCTAAACCCTAAACAACAGACCCTAAACCCTAGGAGGAGGAGGAGGAGGAGGAGAAGCTCTTGCAGCCTGGGGCGGCCTTCAGCCCAGCCAGCCAAACAGTCGTTTAATCGGACTTCAAACTCTCTGCTACTAGTTCCTGGTTGGGCTTAGGGTTTAGGGATACTATTGAAAATCATAGCTTTAGAATCCTCATTGGGATCCGATTGAATGTGTAACTTCAATTTTGTTATTGAGCTTGCTGAGCTTAACTTGCATCCAAATGAGAACCTCTATTCAAGAATGCGAGGCTACACCCTGGCAACGCGTCTATGACCAGGACCACTACACTATACATGATGGTGACGTTCTCTGCGCTCAGGGCTCTCATCCATCAATCAGAGCCAACAGCCCATAACCCTAAAACCTATAGACCCCGAACCGCGCCTCATACGCGTCCCAATCCTCATCCAGGTCCATCACACGGTCATGTAGAAGCGCGTGGAGCATTGTGGACTGATCGCTGCAGTTGTGCTCTTTTCCAGGACCTGTACTTGGTGGGTCAGAAGGACGATACGCATAAGACCTTTGGCTCTTCCTACTCTTGAGCGCAGGGAGCTAGCAGGAGTCAAGGCATGGGCCCGGAGATAAGGGCTTTGGGTCTATAGAGTCTAGGGCTTACGACAGAAGAACGCGCAAAGCCACAAAATTGCAATGTAGAATCGTCAACTATCAGGAATACACACGTATATCGTAAAACAGATACCCGCCAAGCCCTACTTCAGTTGTCCAGACTGCTTTGTTCAGCCGACTCGGACTTCGTGGTGCCATTCGGAAATTCAGAATGGAATAGAAAGCAAAATGGAAACTACTGTTCATTTTTTCGAGTTTGGGGTTTATGAATGGAACAGAATAGGGATAGAAAAGAACGTGGAAACTACGATTTACTGCTTTGGGAGTTCAGCGCGCCTTCCAAAATGTCGGACTCCCACCATCGCTGAAGGAAGTTGTGTGACCAGGCAGTGTTCTTCCTTAGCTGCTGTGTCTCAGAAAGTAGGATTCAGGCAGCAAACCTGGTGCATAGTGCTTGGTAGGGACTTCTGGCATAATAAGTCTTATGCTCTTTGGGAGTTTAGAGGTTGAAGCAAAGCAAGAAATAGATGACTTGCTCCCCTGCACATTTCCAGACAATAGGTTCAACGCTTGCTGCAGAAACAAGATACGAAGAACAAAAAAAACATGGTTTGGAAACAAACAGAGCGACTCCAGCTGTCTAGCAATCATAGAAGAAATAGTAATCATAACATATCATAACAGTAATAGTAATGGTAACAACATAAGAGTAAATATCATGATAGCTACAACAGTAAGAATAGTGAAGTGATAATACCCTAAGCCCTAAGAACAACCTCTGCGAGTGGGCAAAGCATCAAGAGCCACACACCGTTGTTGATGCCTGTGGAGTCCACGGCAAAAATCAGTGAGATGTTGGCATCAGGGTCTGGCATCATGTCCCTGCGAATGCGGCTCATTGCTGCTGAGTCCTCCGAACCTTGGCTGACTGTACCCACCCTGAACTCCAGGGTCACATATGTCCCACTGTCTAAACTCCTAGTATCCCCCTTAATAACCCCTGTAATAGTCCCTTATATATTCCCCTATATAATCCCCCTTTAAGGAGTTTAGACTATAGCTCAGATGTTGCTACCGCCATGGAGATTCTCCGAACAGGCCGTGTAAGCTAGAGTAAGTCTTGATAACTCTTGGTGGAGTCTATGCATGCCTTCGTGAGTGGCAATGATCTTGATGCGCTGGCCGCCTGATGAGAACCAGGGAATGTCCCTGAAACAATGAATCCAGACGTCAACCATGTGGAGCCAGAGGCGCGGAGAATTGACTTTTTATCTTCCCAAACTGGGGGGGACCGCTACCCCAAACCATAAACCATACAACCTCTGTTGCGGTGATTTTTCCTAATTAGCATTTGCCTGAAGAGTGCCAGGACGGCAGAGAGTGCAGTGCAGGGCCTTAACCGAGAACACTGTTTGAAATTAGGGTTTGGGGCTTAGGCTTGTTTCAGTTATATGGGAAATCCAGGGCCATAATAGTGGCAATTATCCCTCGAAAACCCAATAAACACCAGCTTTCATTTCATGCTCCGTTATCTTACCCATTTCATTCTCCATGATTGGGTAAAATCTCCCCATTTAGTCCCCGCATATCCCTATATAAGCCCGATTAGCAAGCTTTTGGGTTTGGGGGGTCCCTGCTCTAAACCCTAAAACCTAAGCCCTAAACCCTCATCCCCGAACCCTAAACTCTAAACCCTAAAACTTTTCATGTTCTTTTCCACTAGTTATCCCTATAAAACTCCTATAAAAATCCTAAACTAAACCCTAAGCCCCGCAGCGCCAAGGAACTGAGAGGAGGCAACCGCGAGGCAGACGTAAGGTTGCCGCTGTACATGGCGATCACGGAATCAATGGTTCGTCCTTTAGGGGTTCAGGGTTTAGGGTTTAGGGGTTTAAGGTTTAGGGTTTAGGGTTCAGAGTTTAGGGTTCAGGGTTGGGGGGCTTAGGGTTTAGGGTTCAGGGTTTAGGGTTTGGAATTCCGGCATGGCTATCGCGGAACTGGCTCGTCCTACAGTACGCGTTTTCGGGTTTAGGGGTTAAGGGCTTAGAGCCACTAGTTCGTCCTAAATGTGCTTTTTGAAATTCGGGGTCCCTCCTTGGGGTCTACATAACAAATGCTATGAACTTTTTCGGTCTATATTGGAGTCCGCTCAGTTATAGATAGTACCAAAGTTCTTAGGGTGGTCTTCGGGTTGATGAAGGATGTTGTTCATCCAGGATTTAGGTTTTAGGGCAGCTTTGAGGTTGGGATAGGGGCTTCTGGTGAGGTATTGAGGTGCCTCCATCAACAAAGTTTGTTGCTGTTTATTGTCTCCGCGATTGGGCAAAAATACGCATATTGGCACATAACAGAAAAAAGCTACATCATTTGGTATTTTCTATAAATAGGAACCCAATCGAGAACCAAAAGCACTCTAATCCGTATTCCGGGGAACACTTTTTGGACCCCTAGTGTCTAGTAATCCGCATATATTGCGAAGTAATCTTCCAGTTAACTCGCACCTCCTAAACCCTTAACCTGAACCCTGAATCCCAAACCCTGAACCCTACCCAGACCCTCCTATGTAGTTCCTTTTTGGATAGTATGTTTAATTCCTTACCCAAAAAACCATAACAGACCCAAAGAGGAACTACATACGAGCCCTTGGGTAAATCTTAAACGCCTAAGCCCTTAACCCCCATGACAAGGTGGCTCCGGCGGGCCTAGGGGAGCCGCACAAACAGTAAAAGGACTCTAATGGGAACCCCAAACAGGGAACCCCAAGAATATAGAAGGAATATCATAGGAATATACCTACCAGGGTCCTTATATTCTATTAAATCCCTACTGTATGCTTAGGGTTCCCTGTTTGGGGTTCCCAGTAGAGTCCCTTTAAACAGGTAGTCTCTCCTAAAATCTCATCACAATCCGCCATCTCTCCCTAGGGCCCTAAACGGGATTGCTGCTTAGGAGCTTAAATTAAGTGACAATAATATGTGCAAAGCAAATCGTGGGTTTCCTTAGCTTTAAAGTTCCTTAACATCAACCCAGTCAACCCTAAATCCCTAAATCTCAGAGACGGTTGGGTTTGAGCTAGTGCCTCGTCTTCAACTGTGCAATTGCTCAACAACAGCACCAGATGTTCAGAGTAACTCAGGGCTCCTGAAGACTGAGGAGTTAAGGGTTAAGGGTCTAGGGGTTTAGGGTTTGGGATTGGGGAAGCTTGTGCATCTAAAATGGAGAACTACCAGTTCGACGGTTTAGGGTCGAGGGTCGCCGTGCGCCTTCGAGCCTAAGAATTTTATACAAACCCAGTTTACGAATTACTGATGATGCTAAAGCTGCTGAATCCCCTGCATGCGTGATTTTGTCATACAAGATTCCCAAGTTTTTTGGCTGGCTGGAGTCATGCAGGAGTTTGTAATATCAAGAACAGGTCTCAAACTACTTTCTTTACTACAAAAACAAACTTCTCAAAACTATCATATGCCCCATAGTCTAAACTCCCAGCATCCCCCTTCATAACAACTACATAATCCCACGATATAACCCCCTTTGAGGATTTTAAGACTAGAGCTCATATGAAAGCTGCGCATGCAGACATCCATGAGCTTCTGTCCTGGGTCCATGAAGAAGGCATCACAATCCATCCAAAGGACCCAGTCGTACTTACCAGTATCCAGAATGTTCTTAACCGCGTTGACCTTCCAAAAGAACGGCTTGTGAACGCCGTCCTTCACGTTCATGCGGGCCTTGATCTGCTTTTTCCTAAACGAAGACCGTCCAGCCCTCCATGTGGTTGGTGGTTGCTTTAGATTTTATCAGCTCCCTCTAACACACTATGCAGCCCCCGGCAACAGCTTTGTCTCTCCCTCTACATGCATGTATAATGTTGCCTCCATATGAAATGGAGCAATTCCAAAGTGTTCACCATCCTGTTTGGAATGAGGCTCCAGCCGTAAAAGCCACCCAAACCCCGCAAGAAAAACAGATGCTAAAGCCAAAGTCCAGGTTGTGTGTTGTAATTATATATGTACTTTGGGCCCAAACGACTTCCTCCGCATCTATACACACATATACGCAAAGATACGGATACTTCAGGGTTCAAAGATCTACCATATAGGCTACACTAAGCCCTAAACTGCGTAGATCATATAGACCTGGACCGTTTAGCGAGCGTTCAACCAAGGTGCCGCCTCATTCGGCAAAATCTGGGCGGCATCGGTGAAGAAGTGCATGTCGTATCCTTATTGCTAGGGGTTCAGCCTAAACCCAAAACCCAAAACCCCCAAAACCCTAAACCCGAAACCCTAAACCCTGGGTTTCGGCTCAAACGTTGGCTCTGAATCCTAAACCACCCCAAATTCCCAGGGCTTTGGGTTGGAGGGCGTAGGGTCCTTTAACACCCTAGGTCCTACACCGCTATGGCACAAGGAACTTTTCTTCCTTGGACTGTGTGCAAAATCATCTCCAGGATTAGAAGACACACTCATCCCAGGGTAGATGGCTTCCCTTTGAGGAGTATATGCGGTTTTCTCGGTTTAGGGTTTAGGGTTTCGGATCCCCGAAGAGGACAGAGCCCATAAGAAGGACCTTTCGAAGGGAACCACAAGCAAGGTTTCTTGGAAGGTCTGTTGTATTTGGGGTCCCCTGGGGATTAGGGTTTAGGGTTAAGGAATCTACCTTAAACCTTTTTAGAACCCCCTCTTCGATCCTAACGTGTACTCCTATGATCTTACTTGAGTAATCCCTAGATGCGGAATATCGATCTGACCATCCCGCCCAGCATCCATGCAGCATCTTGTAGATTTGGCGATTTTGCCTTGGTAGCCAAGTGAGCATATTAGAGTGAGGACCCTTGTTCCTGTAGAGAATCTAAATACAGGAAGCCCGACCCCAAAAAGGGTAAAAGGGTACCGCTGGTCTTTCCTAAACCCGAAATCCTAGACCTTAAGCCCGAAATCCTACACCCTTTAGCCTGAACCTTATGCGGAGGGTCAGGGACTTAGTAATTAGGAAAATAATGGGAATGACTAGGGTTACTACATGGTTTACGGGGGTTATTAACCAACTTACTAAGTCCCCACGACCCTCCAAGTAAGCCCAAAATCCCAAACCCTGAACCTTACACCCTAAATCCTAAACCCTAAACCTGAACCCTAAGCCCTAAACCCCTAAACCCCTAAACCCCTAAACCTCTAAACCCCTAAATCCTAATGCTAACCCCAAATCCTTCACCCTTAATTCTGAACCCTAAGAACAAATTGCTAAACCGCCCCAGTTGCTCGCAGAGAAGTCGCACCGGTGCGTCGGCGGCATAGGCGCAAATGGTGACAACAGCAACCCGTAGACCAGCAACCTTACAGCAGCTTGGAAGGGCTTAGGGCTTAGGATGGTCTAGGGTTTAGGATGCTTTAGGGTTTAGGATGGTCTAGGGTTTAGGATGCTTTAGGGTTTAGGAGGGTTTTGGGTTCAGCGTTTAGGGTTTGGGATGGTCTAGGGTTTAGGATGGTTTAGGGTTTAGGGTTTAGGATGGTTTAGGGTTCCTGGAGCCTCAAAGTATGTAGTAGAATATTGGTTCTTGTACAATTTCGGGGGTTCTGGGCCATGATTGTTCATTTGGTTTGGGGTCACTGTAACGACCTATGTGGGGTTTGAAAGAATTAGCTACCCTTTGCTTGAAGTCCCCATAGTAAGGACTATACTGCATTGAGGTCTGTATTGGGGCCATCGATTTCCTAAACCTTAAACCCTAAACCTCGTATAGGAGCCAGGTAGAATCTCATGCTGAGTTTTCAAGTTGCATATGGAGGCCTATTGCATGAAGCAATGCTGTTGAAAACACTTCTTCTGCGGGCGCGGTTGAACCCTTGTTTAATGGCCCCTAGGCCCTTCACACGCATGCCTTACTCATCCCCTGCCAATAATAACCACTCCCACCGTACGCCGACCCTATAATTGATATTCCTCTCGATGTATAATGATACTATGTATTGGAGGGGGAAGTTTTTTTAGGGGATTGTACCACATTATCAGTGGTAGATTTTGTCCATTTCCACCCTTTTGTATACCACTAGATTCCATTTCACATTGCGCGTTCTTTTCTATTTGACTATCCATCCTGAGTCCGTAATCGCGACAGCCAGAGAGCTCGGTGTGTCGGATCCAGCTTCAGCACAGACTCATCATCCAAGAGGCGCACCCTCTCGGTAAGGCTTCTGCCGGCGAGCATCACATCCTGGATGGTTTCCGATGCAAGCCCCCAGTGCCCTACTTGAGATAGGGTCCCTTATTGTGGGTACATAGGCCTGAATTGCGCACAGCGGGGTGTTTTGGTCTGCCAGGAAATATTGGGGAGTGTTGGAAACTACTAGGTTACCTACCCCACGTCCCCCTGAAGGATGTGGTAACGTTTGGCTTGCTCAAATGAAGCAGGGTACATCTGAAGAAGCTGCGCCAACGTTTCAGCCGCCCTTGGGGAATTTAATGGGTGGGATGTTGGTGTTAGAAAAACATGTCATGGACAGCCGATCAGAACCCTAAACCTTAAACCCAGGTACCGCATGAAATGTCACATAGGAGGTAGTCATAAGTTAGGGCTCATGTCTGGATACCTTAAAAAGTGTAAGGGCGGCATTATATTGAGCACCCAACAGGTGATCACAACTTTGACTAGCAAGGGAGTTTCGCAAAAGGGGGAGGGGATGGGAACCTGATGGATATATGGGGCTTCTACACAGTGGGTCATTGGGCCTTTGGCTCATCGTCAACATCATGGACCCCTTTCGGGTCCCTATGACAATAAGGCCCCTTACGTTTTCAGGCTCAAAATTGGCACAACACGTTTGACCGCAGCATATTTTGGACAACCCAGCCTCTAGTAGTTTCTCTAAATAGGATCCCAAATAGAAACCCAACCATACGATGATCCTTAGTATAGGGAACCCGCCAAAAAAGTAGTGAATAGCCCTAATTTTGGGACCCCCGCACATATCTTCCTGAACCAGAGATCACATCAAGCCCCTTTGGCATGCACCCTCAACCCCATCCAACATGTATGGACCCCTGGGCTAGGTTTTTTTGGCTTAGGGTCCCCCAGCATGGATGGACACTTGGGCTAGGTTTAGGGTTTAGAGTGTTTGGTTTCAGGGTCCCTCCAACATGGATGGACACTTAGGCTAGGTAGGTACATAAGAAAATTTGGGAGAACACCCAGTTGTCACGCGGCTTGTTGCTTCCTAGCGGCCTAGTGACTGGCAGGTTGAACAGTCATGGACACAATGAAGAATCAAATGGGCAATGCAATGGACACTCAGGGTGTAAATGGCATAGACAAGGGTTCTTGCAATGTTTTATTAATCTACCTTAGCTAATACGAGGATTTGGGTAACGCCAGTGGGCAAATCATTATCTTTTCACAATAATACGATAGCTTAGGAATCTTTAGCATTGGGGTGGGGGTTGCCAAAACCCTCGTATAATGCTTTTCGAACACGCTCCCTACATAGTCCTGAATAGAAATCCCCATGTTCATGAATAGTCCCTATATAATAAATAGCCCCAGAATCTTGTCTGAACCCCAAACCTTATATTCTACCTAACCCCTGAAACCCAAGCCCCAAACCCTAATAAAAAACACGCGCGGCTGCTGTTTAGGGTTAAGCCCTTACCTTAGGCTCAAAACCTGTAGTCTCCCTTAAGTAGATAGAATATGGCTGTGGGTATATTATAATAAGACTCCCATATACCCCATAATCTACTTAAGGGGGACTATAGGTTCCAAACCTGGGCCCCAGACCTGTCGAATTGGAGTCACCCTGGGGAGTGTAAGGGATCTTCACCGTCCCCTAAAGGCACCCAAATACCTAAAGCGATACAACCCCTGAAACCTCAACCCTAAAACCCTTAAACCCTAATCCCCTAAACCCATTTGAGCCGTAGTCTAAACTCCTTGTATTTCCCTTAATAAACCCATAGTAGTTCCCTGAATATTCCCTTATATAACCCCCTTTAATTAAGGAGTTTAGGTTCTGGTTCAATTCAGACCGAGCATCCCACCCGGCGGCCGGCCAGGTGGAGCACTCGCTGAAGCCGCGATCCCGAACGAAAATGAAACCCAGGTGTAGAAAGGACAAAGCCTGAGGCTTAGGGTGTAGGAGTTGGGGTTTAGATGCAGAGGGGACAAAAGTTTTAGGGTTTAGGGGATTGAGGTTTATGGGTTTCGGGTTTAATGTTTAGGGTTTAAGGGCCAGAGGTCTAGGGTTTAGGGGATAAAGGTGTAAAGTTTAGGTGTAGAAAAGACAAAAAGCCTGAGGTCTAGGGTTTAGGGGATTGAGGTTCAGGGTTGAGGGATAGAAAGGCCAGAGCCTGAGTGGCTTTGGGGGGGAGTCGAGCTTGGGGGACATAGGGGCCATAAAGGGGTTATGGAGGTTATATGGTTGGTTATCAAAATTATGGTCCCTTTTTGGGTACCCTAAATATTAGGGGCCATACTATAATAGGGATCCGAAAAGGGACCATAATTTTGACAACCACCCATATATGTTGAATAAGGGCTTAAAGGAAATGGAAACTGCTATTTACAGCTTGGTTTTTAGGACATTAGGGAAGTTGGGTTTAAGGTTCCAGGTTTAGGATTTAAAGTCTGTGTAACCCGGAACGGCTTGTGGCTCCGAATGTGGGATCCGCCTGAGAAACGCTCCTAGCCCAATTCTAGAGGTGCAACAAGGGCGGAGCCTCAGTGGGT